GCTGTGTTCATCCAGCTCTACATCTTGTTATCTCAGTCTATAATTCCTTGCTTTCTCACTACCTCCTTTTTCTTTAAATAGTGGGATCACATTAGTGATCCTCCAATCCATAGGGACTGTTCCATAGTCTTTAGAACATTAAAAGATGACCACCAATGGGTGGCATCCCAACTATATCAAAATAGTTTATATTTATTTATGAGATAAATTCATCCACTTTATTACAAGTGATCCACGCATTAAGACAAAAGACCGTAAGGCTTATCACCTGTCATTTGACCAATCCATCACGTGCGACTTCCTCCACAACACCGGAGACAAGAATTGAATAAGAGAAAATAGGAAGCAGAGGTGAGCTGATTAACAGAACATTGTGATTGTCTGTATTGGACATGGGGTGGCTGTCTGTAACAGGCTGTCTGTCATTCTGCATGCAGAGGCCCCTTTACATTCGAGAGTGAAACCGGCCCAGGACTGTCATGGCGACAACCTGTGACTCTGCTATTGATTTAAGAGGAATCTGTATACATTTTTTTTAACATGGAATGATGATGGGCCTAATGATGTTTAAAACTATAACTGAGGGGTGATATAAATTCTGTGGGAAAATGCCTGCTCTCATTTCCATAATATAGAATCAAACTGAAACCTGAATATATTGATTTGTTTTTTGGCTGCAGCATAGTTACAATGCATCACTAAAAGACCAGTCAGTTCAACAGAGATAAGCAATCCATCCTGAAACTTGCCGACTTGTGAGACTAATGGTTACGTTCTTGGCATTGGGATCTTGATTGTGACCTTTGAGTAAATATGTAGTAATATAATTGTTTTAAATTATTTGTTTGTAGGGTGTGGGCAAGTCTGGCTGCGGGTGCATTTATTGCCCATCCTTAACTGTCCCTTGATATGTATAGGTTCCTCGTGCCATTTCATATGGTAGTTAAAAGTTAACCAAATTGCTGTGGGCTTGGAGTTGTGTAGGCTAGACCAGGTAAGAATGACCAGATCCCCTTCCTTAAAGGACATTATAGAATTAGATATTGAAAAGCAAGAAAACGATCAAAATTCAATCAACTAACCTACTAGTTAGTTTTTATGTCTGCCTAATTTCTGTTTCATTGTGTCAAAAACATGAAATTTGGGATTAAGCTGATCTTTGTTTATTATTGTCAAATGGCAGTGTAAATGATTGGGACTGATTCATCTTGAGCAGATATTTTTCGCCTGACGATCTTAGTTCATAGGCGGTGATATCTTGTCTCCCAATTGAAGCTTATCTACCTATGATGTACATAAACCATCAAAGTTATGTTGAAGTTTTGTTGTTAGTTTGAACGTCAACCTGTATTAAATGTTCTAATTACATGAAAAGTTAATGCGTTGAAATGATGAGGGTACTTTGGTACCTCCCCCAGTGTTGGTTTCATTGTCACTGTCCACAAAGTAGTATCAGCCAGGGATGAGGAGCCTGCAAAATAGGAGCAGAAACACAGTAAAGTTTGCAACCGCCACTTACCTTCCTGTCTCAGCTGCACGACCACTTGGCACTTCCCACATACAAGCCATTGAGTTATATGTCTGCCTGTGCTTACTAGTTTGTGTTTTGAGCAATTACTGCTAAAAGTGTTTTTTGAGATCGAAGAGTGGTTGGGCTAACTTGTTGGTAACATGTGCAAGCCAAGGAGACATACAATCTTTTATGGAACAGAGGAAGACAGTTTGGTCCCCTCGTGACCATGCCAGCTGTCTGCAGTTCATTCTGGTTAGTTCTATTACCCTTCTGTGGTCCTGTAAGTTTACTTCCAAGTGCCAAGCATGTTTCCATTTGAAGATATTAGCTGTTTCACCACTTCCATTGGCAGAGTGTTTCATATCATTCCCACTTGCCATGTAAAAAAACAATCGTCCATTTCACGCTCTGCATCTTTAATTTTGAATCTCTGTCTGCTACTCCTTACCCTGTCACTTAATGGGAATGGATTTTCTTTGTCTACCTTATATAAGCCTGTCATAATTTCAATCTCCATTACACAAATGGGAACAACTTGAGCTTGTCCAATCTAACCTTCTAAGAATAAATATCCATGCCTGTAACCATTCTGGTGGTATGTTTATCCTGCACCTTCTCAAGGAATTTCATATATTTCCTGACGTGTGGTGACCAGAACCAGGTGCAATATTCTAACTGTGTCTTAACCAGAGGTTTATAAAAATTCAGCGTAACGTTCCATCTTTTCTACTCAATGCCTGTTTTTATGAAATTCAAGATCCCATGGGCTTTGCTAACTATTCTCTCAATATGTTGCACCCCCTTTAAAGATCAGTAAACATGCACATCCAGACCCTTCTGTTCCTGCACATTCTTTATAATTATGTCATTAAGTAAACATTGCCTCTCAACAGCCCTTCTGCCAAAATGCATCGCCAAAAATTTTTCTATATTGGATTTCATCTGCCATTTGTCTGTCCACTTTGCAGGCCTGTCGTCCTCATTGCTTGTCATTTCTCCACTTCTGGTATCATTAGCAAATTTTGAAATTTGACTCCATATTTTATATAACCATTTATATAGAACAAAGAAAGCAGCGGTCCCAGCACTGATCCTTTGAAAACACTGGCTCCTACCCTCCAATTCGAAAAACAAACATATACAATGACAACGGCTCCATCTTTAAGCTAATTTTATTACCGAGTTGGACGTTGGCCTTCCCATTCCCTCAACCTCCATTTTGGTGATCAGATTTTTATGTGTTACTTTGGCAAACCCTTTCTTAAAATTCATGGAGACAACATCCGCTGCAATTGCTTCATCAATTAGCCATGTTACTTCATCAAATTTCAAATGTGTTCGTCAAAACAATCACTTTTCACAACTTTATGCCTCCTCTTCACTGATTATGGATTGCAAAATCTTACTCACCACTGAGGTTAAATAACAAGCTTGTAGTTACTGGACTGTCTTTACATCCTTTCTTGACTAAGGATGTCACAAATGCTATTCTTTGGTGTTGTGGCACCGCCCCCCCCCCGCATCATGGCAAAATTAAAAGGTGGCAAGTCCTTTCACTATGTCCATCCCCATTTCCTTTGAAAACCTGGGAAGCAAGCCACTCAGACCAAGTGACTTATCAATGCTGAAAATAACCCACCTTTCCATACCACACCTCTTTAATTTTCATACTTACCTCTATAATCTCTGTTTCGACTAACATTTGATCAGATTCCTCCTCCTTTGTAAATATCTAAACAAAGAAATTAAGTATTCTTGCCTTGCCCTGCTCCTTTAAGCGTATATCACTTCTTGTTTCATATTAGGACCCACTTCACTGCTTACTAATTAAAAGCTGAAAAAAGATTTTTGTATCCCTTTTATATTGTCTGCTGCCATCCTTTTTTTATACTCTATTTTTGCCAGTTTTATTTTCTACTTTGCCTCCTTTACAAGCTATGTTATTTGACCTGGTCCATGGGCCTTTCCTTTTTGTTTCGTCATATCGCTATCCCCTTTATCACCCAAGATGCTTTGTTTTGCTTCCTTTGTCTTTTGCCCATGTTCAGTCAACTTAACCTGTACCTGAAGCATCTCTTTAAGGATCACCTAGTGTCCTGTTAAATATTAGATTGCCCCTTACTTTTTCTTCTCTAGTGATAGTCTAAATCTTATGATATAATGATCAATCTTGCCCAAATTTCCACCCATCGACACTTGGTCCACTTGTCCCATCTTATTCTCCAGCACCTGATCTAGCATTGTCTTCATTCTAGAAGGACCAAAAGTATACTGATCAAGGAAGCTCTGCTAAGCATATTTCAGAGATTCCTCCTCTACCTTACCCTTGACTCTAAAATTATGTCAATCAATATCTAAAGTTCCCAATCGTCATCTGCAATCTTTCATATCTTGCATTTAAGATTTGAAAATTCCTGTCCCACTCTGAGTGATAGAACAATGTTTAAGACACACTGACTATTCTACTTTCTTTCAAACAACTTCCTGAAAAGGCACTTTCAAATGTACTTTTTAAATCCATTTGCCTTGTCTTTGGGCCTCCATTTACCATGATATTTCAGGAGTTCGTCTGTATAATCACTTACATATTTCCACCATTGATGCACTTTATCCCAGTGAACCCTTGACTCTCTCTAGTACAGGTTCCATTTTCATCTTCCCATTTCCAAGGAGCGTAGACTTGAGCATATCTGACATAATGACTAGTTTATTGACTTATCATCAGATATGGCAGGATCATATCAAGTGCTATCAGACTTATTTAAATTATCCACTATTGTGGGTGTAGGATTCAAGCCAATTATTCACCTGTCTCTGAGTGCTTTCTTGTTCCCTCTGCCCCAACATTAATTGAGAATTTGCCTTTATTGTTTCTCCAGGACCCTACACATTTTCTTTCCAAGCCCTTCATGCCCATAAAGCCCATTTGTGCCTTCTCCATTTATCCTGTTCCTACTACTGGCCGAGCACAGAGCTCTCTCTGGTTCCAATTCAAGATATTTTTGAAATGGTACTCTTTTATCAAGATATTGTTGCTATCCCTCTGAATGTCGCAGTTTCTGTCCACTTCCCCTGCCTTTTGTAAGTAAATCTGTTAGCCTTCTGTACTTGAAAATCTTCTCCCAGAGTGCTTATGTAAAAAATACATTTTAATTCCCATATCTATAAACTTTGTGGCACACCTCTAAGTGTCACCACCTCTGGCTCTGGCTCTGTTTTGGTCTGATTACACTCAGTTATGCAATTGGCTATCCAGTTGAAAAAGTTTGCTATAGCCTCTTTCCATTGGATACATTAACATGAAATAAGTGTCAGTGTAGTTTAGCCTGATTGGATTTTGTATTATTTATCATAGAACCCACAAATCTTAGTGAAACATAAGTAATATGTTAGATGGTGAAGGTGCTGCAACACTGGCTTGTGTTTTCAAAGTATTATTTGATCTTGTCTCCGTACCAAATTAATTCTTTACTTTCTCACTCTGCAGATGAAGATGGTCTCGGCATCAGTATTATAGGAATGGGAGTTGGAGCAGATGCAGGATTAGAAAAACTAGGAATTTTTGTCAAGACCGTTACAGAGGGAGGAGCAGCTCAAAGGGATAGCAGGTGAGAAAAATTGAAGTTGAAAAGGTGGTACTTTTATAATGTTTATGGGTCTCTCATAAAAATGTAGCAGGTCTAGAATAACATCCTTGAGCGTGAAGTAAATGAAGTTTACCCCAATTGTTTTACAAATAAATCACAAGTAGCTATAGTGAGCTACTCGGCTGCAAAGCTGTAGGACAAGTTAAATACTCACTTACTTACCACAAAAAGGTGGTCGTTTGGGTTTTTGCTAGTTCTGGATTTTCTGCAGCAACTTCTTAATGTCATGTGAAATTAACCAAGTTGACAAACGTAAGCATCCACAAGAAATGGCTCCTCATGAATAAGATAATGTGCTTTGCACTTACAACTGAAGATAGTTAGAAACTGTGGTCTTTCACTCACTTGCTGGTCTTCTCAGTTTCTTGAATGGGATAGAGTGCCAGAACTTTGCTCTGATCTCCTAAGTATGGAAATATTTAACTCGGTCTGTAACCTTCTCCTGCCAGTGCTTATTCAGGTATTGTTCCGTTGTAGCTTTATTAGGTTAGTGATATACTCTCAGGTATTACTGTTCATACCTCTAGGTGTCTGTCTACAACGAAACAATTTGGCTTGCTAGATCTGTTCTTATTCAGTCCCAGTTAAAACAGTTGTGGGGATGAAAGATACCCTCATTGAAGACCGTTCTCGGTTTTCAAGGGCTTTACACTGGCCAACATGCCTAACACTTTTGTAAATGGAGGTTCTAAGCTGTGAAATACATTCCCTAAGGTAGAGGCAAGGTTATGTAATTCACTGTGGAAATTCGTAGAACTTCTAAGATAAATTGCACATCCTTAACTCGACCATCCCTCATAAGCACGTGTCATGTTTCAGTTTTGGTGCTGGGCCTCAGCATTATCATTGTTTTATGCATATCATTATCATTATCGTTAGCAGGTGACAGGGAATCTTCAACTCCATTGAAAATAAGGAAAAAAGGTTAAAGCGAAGGAGAACTCAAGAGCTGTTAGTAATGGAGGTAATAGGACCCAAAAAGAAGGTGCAAAAACTGGCATAAGGGCACTTTATCTGAATGCTCAGAGCATTCGAAACAAGGTGGATGAGTTGACGGTGCAAATCATGGCAAATGGGTATGATTTAGTGGCCATCACAGAGACATGGTTACAGGATGGTCATGACTGGGAGTTAAATATCCAGGGGTATCAAACTGTTCGGAAGGACAGACAGGAAAGTAAGGGAGGTGGTGTTGCTCTGATTTTTAATGATGATATCATGGCGGTAGTGAGAGATGATATAGGTTCTACTGAACAAAACTTTGAATCCATTTGGGTGGAAATTGGGAATAGCAGGGAGAAGAAGTCACTGATAGGTGTGGTCTATAGCCTACCAAATAGTGACATCGTGGTGGGGCGGGCAATAAACATAGAAATAGCTAATGCATGTAAAAATGATACAGCAATTATCATGGGGGATTTTAATCTACATATCGATTGGTCAAACCAGGTCGGTCATGGCAGCCTTGAGGAGGGGTTCATAGAATGCATCCGCGATAATTTCCTTGAACAGTATGTAATGGAACCTACGAGGGAGCAAGCTATCCTAGATCTAGTCCTGTGTAATGAGACAGAAATAATTAATGATCTCACAGCTAGGGATCCTCTTGGAAGGAGCGATCACAGTATGGTCGAATTTAAAATACAGATGGAGCGTGAGAACGTTAAATCCAGTACCTATGTCCTGTACTTAAACAAAGGAGACTATGAAGAAATGAGGGAGGAATTAGCTAAGGTAGAATGGGAGCAAAAACTTTATGGTGGGTCAATTGAGGAACAGTGGAGGACTTTCAAAATGATTTTTCACAGTGCTCAGCAGAAGTATATTGCAGTGATAAGGAAGAACGGTAGGAAAAGAGAGAGCCAGCCATGGATGTCTAAGGAAATAAAGGAAAGTATCAGATTGAAAAAAAAACATACAAAAAAGCAAAGAGTAGTGGGAAACTAGTAGACTGGGAAATCTTTAAAGGCCAACAGAAAGCCACAAAAAGAGTTATAAAGAAAAGTAAGATAGATTATGAGAGTAAACTAGCTTAGAATATAAAAACAGGCAGCAAAAGTTTCTATAAATATGTAAATTGTAAAAGAGTGGTGAAGGTAAACATTGGTCCTTTAGAGGATGAGAAGGCCAATTTAATAACTGGGAATGAGGAAATAGCTGAGACATTAAACAGATTTTTCGTGTCAGTCTTCACTGCGGAAGACACAAATAACATGCCGAAAACTAATGGCAAGAAGGTTATAAGCAGGTGACGACCTAGAAACTATCATTATCACTCAGGAGGCAGATCTGGGCAAGCTAATGGGGCTAAAGTTAGGCAAGTCTCCTGGCCCTGATGAAATGCATCCCAGGGTACTAAAAGAGGTGATGGCGGAAATAGCAAATGCACTAGCAATTATTTACCAAAATTCACTGGACTCTGGGGTGGTTCCCGAAGATTGGAAAACAGCTAATGTGATGCCACTGTTTAAAAAAGGAAGTGGACAAAAAGCAGGTAACTATAGGCCAGTTAGCTTAACTTCGGTAGTGGGGTAAATGCTTGAATCTATCATTAAGGAAGAAATAGCAAGACATCTTTATATAAATTATCCCATTGGGAACTCCCAGCATGGGTTCATGAAGGGTAGGTCATGTTTAACTAATTTGGTGGAATTCTTTGAGGACATTACTTGCATGGTGGACAATCGGGAACCTGTGGATGTGGTGTATCTGGATTTCCAGAAGGCATTTGACGAGGTGCCACACCAAAGGCTGCTACATAAGATGAAGTTGCACAGTGTTACAGGTAATGTATTGGCATGGATAGAGGATTGGTTGACCAGTAGAAAGCAAAGAGTAGGGGTAAATGGGTGTTTTTCTGGTTGGCAGTCAGTGGCTAGTGGTGTGCCTCAGGGATCAGTGTTGGGACCCCAATTGTTTACAATTTACATAGATGATTTGGAGTTGGGGACTAAATGTGGTGTGTCAAAATTTGCAGATGACACTAAGGTGAGTGGTAGAGCAAAGTGTGCAGAAGACACTGAAAGTCTGCAGAGGGATATAGATAGTCTAAGTGAGTGGGCAAAGGTCTGGCAGATGTAGTACAATGTTGATAAGTGTGAGGTCATCCATTTTGGTAGGAATAACAGCAAAATGGACTATGTTTTAATTGGTAAAAAATTGCAGCACGCTACTGTGCAGAGGGACTTGGGTGTCCTTGTGCATGAATCGCTAAAAGTAGGATTGCAGGTGCAGCAGGTAATTAAAAAGGCAAATGGAATTTTGTCTGTCATTGCTAGAGGGATGGAGTTTAAAAACAGGGAGGCTATGCTGCAGCTGTATAGGGTCCTGGTGAGGCCACACCTGGAGTACTGTGTGCAGTTTTCGTCTCCTTACTTGAGAAGAGATATACTAGCACTGGAGGGGATGCAGAGGAGATTCACTCGGTTGATTCCAGAGTTGAGAGGGTTGGATTATGAGGAGAGACTGAATAGACTGGGATTATACTGATTGGAATTGAGAAGAATGAGGGGAGATCTTATAGAAACATATAAGATTATGAAGGGAATAGATAAGGTGGAGGCAGGGAGGTTGTTTCTGCTAGCAGGTGAAACTAGGACTAGAGACATCGCCTCAAAATAAAGGGAAGCAGATGTAGGACTGAGGTCAGGAGGAACTTCTTCACCCAAAGGGTTGTGAATCTGTGGAATTCCCTGCCCAGTGAAGTGGTTGAAGCTACTTCGCTGAATGTTTTTAAGACAAGGCTAGATAAATTTTTGAACAGTAAAAGAATTAAGGGTTATAGTGAGTGGGCGGGTAAGTGGAGCTGAGTCTCAAAATGATCAGCCACGATCTTGTTAAATGGCGGGGCAGGCTCGAGGGGCCAGATGGCCTACTCCTGCTCCTAGTCCTTATGTTCTTATGATGGTAAAATTTGGCCTTCATTTTGGGTGACATTATATTTCACCATTTATTCTTCTGTGTCTTTTCAAACCTACACCTCTCAATATCTTTCTCAACTTTGTACCTTCTGGAGAAAAATCTGGAGACCAATGCCTGTAATACCTCCTTGCTGTTTTTGTCCTGCCTATCTGTAGCTCAGAAACTAGTCCATTCATTATAGTTGCCTTTGATCGAGGCCTCCCTCCACCATCTCCAAGGCTGATGCAGCCTATGGTACATTTGTCGGTAGTGGTGACCACTTGTGATTTGTTAAAACTGGTTTCCTTCACAATGTTCCTGGCTGCTGTTCAAGCTTCTTTTTACTTGTTAGTTTGCACCTCTGTCCACTTCCAGCCATTAGTATGATGTATCAGTCTGACCTTTGATAACTTACCTTTGACCCTAAAAACATTAGCAGAATTACAAGAATTTACAAATCAAATTATATCGAGTATCTGCAACCAAAGTTGATGAAATCATGTCAAGTGTGGTACCTTCACGAGCTGGTTATATTAAAATTGTGCAAAGAACCTTTGACCAGTTGAGTCTCTACCGCCAAAAATATGCTACAGCCTACACCAGTCCAACTTTCCCGCAATAGGCTCATAGCCTTGAATGTTATGATAGTCCAAGTACTTTTCCTAAAGGTTGTGAGGTTACCCATCTCAACAACCCTCCTAGGCATTCCAGATCCCCATTAACCTCTGGGTAAAACAGTTCTTTTTCCTGAAATCCCCTCTAAACCTCCTGCCCTTAGTTTAAAAGTGGGCCGCAGTGTTCTTGATCTTTCGACCGGGGAGCAGCTGCTTTCTATCCATCCTGTTCATGCCCCTCATATCTTGTACATTTCTATCAGGCCCCCCTCAACATTCTCTGCTCAAAGAAAACAGCCGGAGTTTTGGCAGCCTCTTTTCATAGCTGAAATGCTCCATCTTAGACAACAACTTGGTGAATCCCCTCTGCACCCCCTCCAGTACAGTTACATCCTTCCTATTTTTCTAGAACTGCACACACTACTCCAGCTGTGGCCTGATCAAAATTCTGTATAGTTCCAACGTGACCTACCTGCTCTTATAATCTGTGCTTGAAGCGCCCTGTACGTCTTCTTAGCTACCCTATTAAACTGCCCTGCCACCTTCAGGGATTGGTGGACAAGCATCCTAAGATCCCTCTATTCCTCACAGCTTCCTAATGTCCTGCCATTCATTGAATATTCCTTTGTCTGGCTCTCTCTTCTGAAGTGCAACACCTCATATTTATCATGACTAAATTCTGCCTGCCACTGATCTGCCCATCTGACCAATCCATCACTATCTTCCTGTAACCTAACACCTTCCTTCTCGCTGTCAACCATTTGGTCAATCCTTGTGTCATCTGCAAACTTACCTTTAATTACCTCCATGTCCTCATCTTCATTATTTAAGAATAAAACAGACAATAAAGGACTCAGCACTGATCCCTGAGGTATGTGACTTCACGCCAGGCTCCAGGCACATAAATAGCCCTCTACTGCCGCCCTCAGTCTTGTACTACTCAACCAATTCTGGATCCACATTAGCAAGTTACCCTGGATCCCATGATTCCATGCCTTCTCTATCAGTTTCCCATGTGGGACCTTGTGAAAAGCCTTGCTGAAATCCACGTGAAATACATCACTTCCCCTACTCGCTTCGACACGCTCGGTTACTTTCTCAGAATGTTCAACTAGATTTGACAGGCATGATTTCCCTCTGACAAAGCCATGCTGACAATCCCTGATTAAGTGTTGCCTCTCTAAACTGCGATGAATTTTCTCCTTCAGTATTTTCCCCAATAGCTTCCCAGCCATTGATGCAACACTCTCTGGTCAATAGTTCTCTGGTCTATCTCTACTGCCCTTCTTGATAAGTGAAACTACATTAGCTTTCCTCAGACCTCTGATACCTCTCCTGTGGCAGGAACAGTTTTAAAAGTTTGGGTCAGAGTCCTTATTATTTTCTCCCCTGTCTCTCACAGTAGGCAGGGATGCACCTCATTCAGACCTGAGGATGTGTCCACTTTTAAAGCAGCTAAAACCTTCAAAACTTCCTCACTGCTTCTGTCAATCTGCTCAAGAACTTCACAGCCCATCTTCTTGAATTCTGTATTTGCATTTCCCATCTCCCAAGCAAGGACAGGTGTGAAGTGCTCATTTAACACTCTACCAGTGTCCTCCGGCTTCATGCACACATTTCTCCCCTTAGTCCCTAATGGGCCCTCCTCTTCCCCTTGATCAACTTGTAGAATATCTTGGTATCCTCCCCAATCTTGCCCACCAGTGTTTTTTCTGTTCTTTCAATGTTCACCCATGTTCTTCCTCTGCGCTCTCCTGATTGTTTTTCGTCAAATTTTCCCCTGCACTCTCTATTCTCCTCTAAAACCTCTGTTGTTTTGCTCCCTTTGTACCTGCTATATATCTCTCTTTTCCCTTTTATCTAGCCCTGAATATTCCTAGATGTCCTGGGTTCTTTGGGCTTGTTGCTCCTAAAGGGAACATATCGGGCCTGTACTTTCTCCCACTGTTCTGCTACAGATTTATCTTTAACAAGCTGTTCCCAGACTGTTTTGGTCAGTTCCTGCCTTTTATAATAAAATCTGCCTTACCCCAATCCACAACCCTGTTTGCAGACCCCTTCCTCCTTTTTCATAACAAACCTGTCAAAGTCTTGCTGTTGATTTATCTGTTGGATATTTTCTTTTAATATTCAATGGGAAGGCAATATATAATTATCTTTGGCTGTTTGCTCTCTAAATTTGTCAAGATGGGTAAGAAAGTTATTGAGAGTTAGAGAGTACCAAAGAGACATATGGATGGTATAAGTGAGCGGGCAAAAGATTGACAGTTGGAGCATGAGGTGGAAAACCGTAAACTTGTCCACTTTGACTGGAAGAGTGAAAAAGCAGTATGTTATTTAAATGGAGATGGAGAGAGATTGCAGAATTCAGAGGTACACAGGAATCTGGGTGACGTGGTATGTAAATCACCAAGTTAGTTTGCAGATGCATTAAATGATTAGGAAGGCAGATGCAATGTTGATGTTGATTGCAAGGGGAATGGAATATAACACAGTTAAATTATACAACTGCAGTTCTATAATGCTTTAGTGAGATTGAATCTGGAGTACAATGTACAGTTTTGGTCTCCTTAATTCGAAAAAGATAAAATTGTGTTGGAAGTAATTCTGAGAAGACTCACTTGACTCATTCCTGATATGAAGAAAGGTTGACAGGTTGGATCTTTAGCCTGTGGAGTTTACAGGAGTGAAAAATGATCTTATTGAGATAAATAAGGTCCTGAGGAGATTTGACAGTTTGGATTCTGAAAGGAAGTTTCCTGTTACAGGAGAAATCACAAACAAGAAACAAAGTTTAAGGAGAAGAGATTTCCCTTTTAAGATGGAGAAGAGCAAAAGTTATTTTCTCTCAGGGGGTCATTTGTATGTGCAATTCTTCCATCAGCAAAAGATAGCTGAAATGCCTATAGACAAATGTAACACTGCATTAGGTATGATATTTGTCAAAAATGCTAAGGCTAGTACACTATTACTAATGACCTACAGAATTATGTTTGGCAAAATAAATGTAAGGGTTGGTGCAACATTTAGCAGTGCACAGTTGTGTAGTCTAGTTTATTTACTGATGCAGACTACAAGATAGAAACTGAAAATATAAAGATTGTTCACTTTGTTCAATAATAGGTTCACCCATGTATCTTGTACAATGTTGTCTCCATGACAGTTTTCCATATGGATAGTAGCATATTGCACTATTTACATAATACATACACTATCCTTTGTATAGAAAGTGACAGCAATTCTGCAAGTATCAACAGGGAATGAAACTAGTTAATGGAAAATAGTTTTCTATTAGAGTATTTCCAAGAGTCTCAGATGTTTCTGCAACAACTTTGCTATAACAGTTAGTAAGATTTTTTTCTCCCTATTTTTCAGTATATATACGTGTTTTTGTAATGTTTGTTTCTGATCTTCTTTTCATAAAGGATCCAGGTGAATGATCAGATCGTGGAAGTGGATGGAATCAGTTTGGTGGGTGTTACTCAAAGTTTTGCTGCCACTGTTCTGAGAACAACTAAAGGCAGTGTTAGGTAAGGAAATGTTACATTTAGCCTTTGGAATATCAAATTTATTATTTGTGGTATTCTCTAAGGGATCATCTACAGATTGTTTCAACCTGAAGTTTTCAGTCTAAAAACCATTATAATCTAGAATGATACTTCAGATTATTCATATTATTAAATTAGTTATAAAAATATCTCATGCAACTTGATGTTAATGGGGAGACTCGCTAATGTAATATTGGCTATAGGCAGAAATGGATGAAGTTCAATTTGCCATTGGATGAGTAAATAAATTCCCAACGGAGATGATTTTGACTTTGAAGATATAGATGTCTGTGCTCCATCCCATCTTGCTCGTTTGAATGATCTGCCGGTTGTCTTTCAAAGATGTGCATGTTGGCTATATAGTAGATCTCAATGCTGAGACATAGGGAACCTAGTGCCAACACGGCTCTTGAATGTGAGTGAGACAAACATTGTGCCTAACATTGGTTACTTTTTATATTTCTTCTTGCTGACTCTCTTAATTGACTTTTCAATAACTTAGGTTGATGTCTCTTGACAGTTTGCAGAGTATCCCGGTTGCGGCTAGAGTAATTCTCTAAAATTGTTTCTGTTTTCCAAATTCTCCCCCTTTGTTGTTCTCTTTCCTTAGTTTAGCTTAATTTAACTCCTTTCATAAATTTATGGCTGCTTCCTTAGATGCTCATTCTTGATATGAAACATCATCTACAAACTTAGTTTATTTGAACTATTAGCTCCACTCTACATTGAGGGCCAGTTCCCTGCACTATACTGTGAATTTTGGGGGTGAAACAACCTACATTGAGCTGCTTGCTCCACTTTCATTTTACAGATGACAACCTGTCAATCAGCATGAGGCAGAGCTTCTATCCATTTCCAGGAGAACATCAGTTGAAAAGGCCCAGATGAGATGCATCCATGAATTACGAAGGAAATGAGGGTAGAAATTGTGGGGACATTGGTTGTAATCTTTAGTCCTCCCTGAACTCGAGGAGGTCAGAAGACTGGAGGATTGCAAACATTATGACCTTGTTCGAAATCAATTGTAAGGATAATCTGAGGAAATACAGACCAATTAGTTTAACTTTTGTGGTGGGAAAACTTTTGGAAATAATTTTCTCCGGTAAAATTAGTAAACTCTAAAAGTTATGTTAATTAGGAAGATTTAGCACACATTTCTAAAGGGAAAATTTGAAAATTGTAGGTCATGGTATAAGGAGGACAGTGGCAACATGGATATAAAATTAGCTGAATGAGACAGAGTGTAATGATTATGGGACATTTTTTGGGTTGGAAGAAGGTTTTTGCAGTGGAGTTCTGGAATGGTCAGTATTGGGCTCTGTTTTTCATGATCTATATTAACGATCTGGATATTGGATAATTTAAAAGTTTTCAGATGACACTGAAGTTGGAAAAGTTGTAAACTGTGAGGCAGACAGAGGGTATTGGCAAATTGGAGTGGGTGGATAGGTGAGATGAGGCTCACTGAAGACAGTTATAATGTGATGCACTTTGGTAGGCCATAGAAAGACAAGACACATTAAGGGGTACAATTGTAAAAGGGGTGCAGGAAGCAGAGGGACCTGCATCTATATGTCTACAGATCATGGAAAGTGGCAGGAAAGACGGAGAGAGCAGTTTAAAAAGTGTACAGTTTATTAATAGGAGCATAGAGTGTAAAAGCAGGGATATGATGTTGAACTTGCCCAAGATGCTTCATACACGTCCACTGGAGTATTGTGTACACCCGTGAGTGCCACATTATAGGACGGATGTGAATGCACTGGAGAGAGTGCGAAAACAATTTGCAATAATGTTTCCAGGAATGAGAAATTTAAGTTATGAGGATAGATTGAAGAAGTTGGGATTGGTCTCATTGGAGACAAGAAGCCTCAGAGGAGATTTGATAAAGATTTCCAAATCATGATAATGTTGGATAGAATAGACAGGGATCAGCAGTTCTGCTTGTAAAAAAAATGAGACGGCATAGATTTAAAGCGGTGTGCAAAAGAAGCAAGGATGATATGAGGGAAAAGAAACTTGTTACAGTATGGAATGTACTGCTTGGAAATATGGTGAAGGCAGGTTTAATTGAGACATTTAAGAGGGGATTTGATGATTATTTGAGTACTATTAGTGTGCAGGGAAACAGAAAAGGCAGGAGATTGGCATTAGGGAATGGAACTGGTGTGGGCGTGATGGGCCAAATGGCCTCACGCAACATAAAATTCTGTTATTCTGAGATTTTGTGTTCTACCTCAGCACTCCGTTGCAGCAGTACCAATCAAGAATGGTGACGATTGTTTGCGTTTCAGATAGGCCAAGGAGGTGTCTTACATGCAGCACCTGCCAGTGATGGATCTGAGATTTAGATTTCACTGTGACCAGGCTATCAAAGATACTGACACTCTGAGAGCTGATTCTGAAGAGTCAGTACTAAAATCAAGGACTGTTCATGTGTAAATAAAGGATGACTTGGATAAAGTCCTAAGGCGTTTTTCCGAAGGAGGTGTATGCCTCAGAAAGGAAAAAGAGACCTATTTGGGCTACAGAGTTGACGAGACTGAGTTACACTTGTTGGAAGATAAAGTATGGGTAGTCAAAAGTGTCCCGGCTCCCACTTCTGATCAGGACCTCAGGTCATTTCTTGGGCTGGTAAGTTATTATGGTAAGTTCATACATAACCTGGCCTCCATCCTGGTACCTTTGCATCAATTCCTTAAAAAGGGTCAGCCTTGGAAATAGTCGCATAAATAAACCTTAGCTTTCAGTGAAGTGAATAAGCAGCAGTCATCCTCTTAAGGTGTTGATACACTATAATCCCAGGAAAGATCTGGTTTTGACAATTGTTGCCTCCCTGTACAGTATTGAAGTGGTATTAGCTCATAAGTCCCTAATGGAGAGGAACACTCCATAGGTAATGCATCCAGAACTTCGGATAATGCGGAGCATGTATACACCTAGATAGAGAAAGAAGGTTTGGCGGTCACATTTGGAGTCCGGAAGTTCCACCAAAATCTCTATTGATGAAAATTTGTGATAATCACAGACCACAAACTCCTACTTCGTCTGCTTAAACAGCACAAGGCAGTGCCACCCATAGCTTCGGGCTGTATTCAACTGTGGGCTCTAATACTAAGTGCTCATAATTACAAGTTAGAACACCGTCCGGGAGGTCAAGTAGCAAAAGCGGATGCATTGAGCTGCCAACGATTGGCAGATAAACCACTCGTGGTACTGCCAATGGAAGAACTGTAATGTTATTCAATTTTCTGGAAACAGTCCCAGTCACAGCTGACAGTATCAGACTTTGGATGCAGAAAGATCGAGTCTTTTCATAACTGAAACAACTGGTGATGACTGGGGAAACCAAAGGGCCATCACAACAAGAACTGGAAACTTTTTGGACCAGGAGAGACCAACTCACCAGTGAGGACAGCTTTATTGTTATGGGAAGCAAGAGTGACTGTCCTGAGCAAAGGTTGCCGCCAAATACTGGCTGAACTCCACCAGGGCTATCCAGAGATCTCCAGAATTAAATGTTGGTGAGAAGTTATGTCTTGGCCAGGCCTGGACGCAGACTTAGCCACGTTGGTGGGGCAGTACCCAAAGTGCCAACAAAGACAAAAATACCACTAGCAACTTCTTCTCACCTGAATCCCCGGGTAATCCTTGGAGTCAGTTGCAAGTCGACTATGCAGGTTCTTTCATGGTTTCAATGTTCTTAGTCATCGTAGATGCCCTCTCAGTGGTTGGATGTGCATAGGGTCCATTCAACAAACACTGGGATGATGATAGAAAAGCCGTATGCATCTTTTTTAATACATGAAGTCCTGGAAGTGTTTTTGGCCATCATTTACGAACAAGGAATTTGAGTCTTTCCTAATGTTGAATGGGATTCGACATATCATGCCAGCTCCCTACCACCCATCATCCAATGGCCTGGCAGAAAGAGTTGTCCAAACTTTGAAGTCTGGTTTGAAAATACATTCTACAGCCTCACTAGACACTATGTCGTCATGGTTCTTATTTGATTCTAGGTCCACCCCACATGCATCTACAGGGATAGCACTGGCAAAGTTGTTAATGGGTAGAAGACTCCTCACCAGGTTAAGTCTGATTTTCCTGGACCTCAGGGCGGTGGTAGGTGGGGAAGAAATGACATTAGGAACGCCACGGCTGGTGACAACACTCCACCAAGTGAGAGACACAATTTGATTGAGGGGATGAAATCTGGTGAATGAATCATGGAAGTGCCTCCACGTGGGTAAGAGACATGGTCGATGTGAGGTAAGGACCAGTGATATTTAAAGTTCAGGTTGGTGCGATGATCCTGAACAAGCATGTGGACCATATGAAAGTTGCGAATTTGCAGAACAGGCCCTGTCCCTTGGAACAGGCGCCAGACATCGTGGGTTCACCCTCTCCATCTAGTGTTGATGAGTCCATAGAATCAGAGATGGACATGATGGATGTAACTGCCTTGACTCCTTTGCCACTGGAAGAAGAGAGTGAAATTCTACTGAGGTGCTCCCGACGCAAGAGGCAAGCTTCCATGTGTTACACACTGCCCACATCAGACACATAGTTGGAGGAACCTGATCCAGGAGGCTCTCCAAGAAAATGGACCAGCCCATGTCCTTGGACTCCAAGTGCAAGGGATATAGTGACTGTAATGAGTTCAGCCAGCTGGACCTCATAGAATGTGAGTTCCCTGATGGGAATATTATAGTCCAACAGATTTATTTGAAATCACAAACTTTCAAACCGCTGCTCCTTCATCAGGTGAAGTCACCTGATGAAGGAGCAACGGTCCGAAAGCTCATGACTTCACCTGACGAAGGAGCAGTGCTCCGAAAGTTTGTGATTTCAAATAAACCTGTTGGACTATAATCTGGTGTCGTGTGACTTCTGACTTCATTCAAAGATATGCAGATTAGGTGGATTGTCCATGCTAAATTTCTCTGTAGTGTCCAGGGATATGCAGACAAGATGCTTTAGCC